AAAAACTTTGGTATTTTCCACACAGGAATACTAGTTTTTTTACTGGAGAAAAAAATTTCCTTGGTGAAAAAAACTTTTTTAATGCATATACAACTTAATACAGTTAATTTTAATATCAGGCCATATCAGAAATTTTTTTACGGGCCTTTAATATTAAATATTAAAATACACTCGAAGTGGCTACTTGCTTTGGTATTTACTTCCTCTTGTTACGTGCATACAATTGATGTACACATGTGTGAATGTTCGGAATGTAACACATGTGAGATGACCATACTTTGTTGTCTTAATCAGATAAGAGCGCAATGCTATGTTAAGTATGAACTTAACTAATTGTAATTATCATGAAAATTTAACTCATTAAATTCTACTTGATATTTTAGATTACGATTTAAATTAAATAGCACAGATGGATTGAAAAAAAATTTTTTTTATTCATTAAAATAAAATTGATGACTATATAAACCATAAACAGAAATAAGATAGTTAAATAGTCCGTGAAACCAAAAAACGAATTAATTTTTTCGCATTTTTAGGTCATACTAAACATTAATTTTAATAAACAGGCAAAAAATTACCGACAATAATTACAACATTCGATTTCTGTACTACAGAAGCTATGCTATATTACAGTATATAGTAATTGCTGACAATTAGCGAAAACCAGACTCACAATGGAGCTTCGAAAGTAGCGAAACGGTGATTAAAATGAGTGTATAACGAAAAAATAAAGTAACAAATGAGGTCCCTAAAAATTACATTTAATTTGTGAGAAAATCAGCTGAGCCTTCAGTAAGATTTGATTGTTTCAGAGATCCTATAATTCGCACTTTCCGGATGTAGCACACTCATACTCTCGCACTTGCATTTATTGTTATATTATAGTGGTGTTAATATTAATGTTAAAACTATGTTTTGGTTTCATCGCATCCGGTACAGAATAAGCGCAAGAGGAAGTAGGTGAGCAGAGCTCGGGGTGCTTTTCTACAAAATAATTGGATTATACTAATTATAATAGACATGCGTCGAATTAAAGATGTATTTCAATAGATGCGCGTTACTTTGTGAGACAAGGTGACACAACGACATCAAAAAAAATTAAACATTTTCATTTTTTTTGTTTTGACTAATCGTTTAATGAGCAAAAAATGATTATTCGAAGAATTTTTAAAAATAAAATATTTTAATTTTTATGAAGATTTTAGATCTTATAAAAATTTATAAAAATGTTTTAGAGTATTATCGATTTATTCTTTTGATTTATTAACAGATTTTTTTAACATTTTATGGAGTGTAGTATACTACAACGTTATGAAAATAAATATTTGTATAATTTTGTGTAAATTTCATTGCAATAAAAATTACGATTTCATAAACCCTTACAAAAACACATAGATTTAAAAAAAAATATTTTTGGTACTTTTTGATAATTTTATAAAAATATATAACATTTTATAAAAACAAAATTTTCGATATTTGATGATAATTTCAATGAAACTGGAAAAAAAATTTCTAATACGATAAATTTTCATACCCAGCTAAATGTGACCTCATAAGGCTATATATGAATGTAAAAATTAACGTATAATAATTATTAGCGTAAATTAAGGATTAAAAAACAATTCATTTTGTATATAATCTCACAAAAGTTTACTTTAACATCATGTTTTTATATTGTTGTATCAAGTAGACTTTTTATTACTCCCTGGCTGTTGAGTCTCAATGAAAAAAAAAAAATAAATGAATAAAATAATGATCAATTTTTAAAAACTATGAATAAAAATATCAGAGACCGCTTCAGGTATGATATGAGCTTATTAACTCTAATCAAGTTTTATATGGATACATAATACTATATCAGAAAATTTTCAATGAAAATGTATGGAATCTTTTAAATTCAAAAAATTAAAATTTTATGACATTTTATAAAAATGCTTTTCTTGATTAAAAAAAAGTTCCTTTCGAATTCTACCATATTTTCTAAAAAATTTTATTTAAAAAAATACAATTTATACACTATATCATAAATGCGATATTGCATTACATGCACATTCGCGCTTAATGTTTACATTATACAAGAGATGCTCACAATGGTGAACTCTGGATCAGGTAAGAGTATTTGCAAAATCTCACGGTCTCCGTATATTTATATTTGATAGAAGTATAACTTTTCCTGGTTCTCCGTCGCTGTTACTATGTAGGCTATACTTAGTAGATCCCCTTATTCTCATCACTACTTACCGCTTCGCTCTCAATTCGATACAATAACGCCATTTATAAGTAGTTATAGATTATAAGTGAAGTAATTAACAATGTAATAAGTAATGAGCTAATGAGTAATTGTAAGCGTTTTTGGAATTATTCGGGAGAAATTAACAGTATCGTGTGCAAATTCATTATATAAATAATTAATTGAGTTTTCTCTTCGGTAATAGAAATTCTTTGGCAAGAATGCTGCGTACTATATTATTATACGCTAGTGATAGGAGGTAGGAGGTACGGAAAAAATTGATAGTGTTAAAACGCTCGTCAAAGTACCGTTGTTACAAATGACCACGAACACATATAGTAACCAGTCATCCTTCTTATTATAATAATAATAATAATCGTAGCTAATAAGAATGTCATTAATTTAACATTTATGATAAATTCTTGGTTATTTTTATTACAATAATTACTGTTGTTAGGCTCAATTGATTATCGTAAAATAAGTATCACTTTTTACGACGGTGAAAGAGCAGTCTGGTGATTTTGTTATTGGAAAAATATTTAAATTCTTTGCGAAAGAATTATAACGCAAGTATCTCAGTAATTAATAAACGAATTTTGATAGGAAAGTATCCAATCAATGATCAGATTCTTAGAAAAAAAAATTTATCTTATAAAATTCATTCATTTATTTTGTGATCATAAAAATACAGATAACGATAATACATACAATATGCATCAGGGCGTTTCAAAAAAACTGACAAAATTTTTTTTCAAATTATTTTGAAGTTTCATCAAAGCATGCTGAAATAAAGAGCATGTCAAAATTTGGACCTCAATAATTGATTTTTAGAAGTCATGAATCTAAATTTTCGACTTAAATAACATCGAAAAAAAATATTTTTAAGCTTTGGCATTGAAAATCTGGTCTTACAAACAACTTACCGGCTTAAATGTTATACATGTATTAGTAAAAAATTAAATATTTTACAAAAAAAAGTCTCTTATGAATTTTCTATAAATTGACTTTTCCAATAACTATTCAAGACTAAAGTTGGATACATCCTAAATTGTCAGTGATTTTTTCATTTTTTGCGAAATTATTGTCCAGATAAAAACTTTTCATCTGTTTTGAATAACATCAAATTCGGCCTCAATGCAATAAATTATGAGACTATTTACCAAGTTGTCTCAAATAATGATTCAAGATTTTATGAAAGTTTTATAACATTGCTTTTTAATCTTCAAGTACTCAAACTGGATTTATAAATAGCATTTCTCTGTAATAATTAAATATTTTATTTACATATAACTGTCTCAATCAAATGTTGAAATAAAAACTCCTCTGGACTGTTTATTTCAGAAAAATTTCATTACATATTTCACCTCATTAGTTTTATATGTGAGAAACTCCTATATAATCTGCAATCCACGTTTAGAGTATAATAAAAATTTCTGAAATTTTACTAAATTTTTTTTGTATTTTATATTTTCCCATTTTTTATACGAAATTCATAACTGAACAAAATTTTTTTGGACGAATCACAAAAAAAATTCATATGCAAAAGAAATTCATAGATAATTACAAAAAAATGAATATGATTTTTCAATGTATTCATTATAAAGCCATACTTGATACAAAATATTAACATCGGAAAGAAATTGTTCATAATGGGACTAAATTTTTTAACATGACTCCATCTACCAATTAATCATTCCCTTCATGTAAAAAAAAAATTTTTTTTTCTTAGAACCTCAATAACACCTCCTTAATTACCATACAAACCCAACGCTCCATCACATAAATTACAATAACTGAAACACAAACAATGAAAAGCAATACGGTAATCAATTCCTCCTACACTAGTTGATCAGTAGCCTCTTCCCTGAACCCCCTGGCCCCTTTACTAGCACACAGCATCGTCTTCAGATGAGTACACGAGTGGTCTAGATTCCGATTCTCTGTAGCCCAAAGATCATTGCGTGGGTCACGGTGTCAGAACCTCTGGCAGTGAATGTGATTGGCGCCCCCCTCCCCCGGCCCCTCAGGTTCGAATCTCACATTTCAATTGGAGGTAAAACACAGAGTACCTTCACTTAGCGTATCTACCTGTCGTGAAGGTCTCTCGTTTTTTGTCTATTGTCATCATCATTATCATCTTCCTCTTCCTCTTTCCTCTTTCCTCCTAGCCCCCCTCCTTATCGCCCTGGAAGTTCATCTCCCATTAAACTCTCTCCAGCCGATATGATGTGAGATACACTAGTAGGTCTTTATGTCACAAAGGTCACTGAATACCTATGCTAGTCTACATCACAAGAGACTTCCACCACTAGCCTTCCACTGCTGTAACTGCACGGTAAACGCTCATGTGATTAAACAGATAAAAAATCCTATCCCAGCTGTTGATTCGCCGACAGGATTTGCCTCCTCGTTTCGTTCTCTATACCCGTCTTCGTTTCATCGTCTTCCATACCGCACACTAGCAAAACCTTTATGCTTTATCCTCGTGGTACATCCATCCCACAGCATACACACATCCATACAATGATACATTCACACAATAATACATTCATAGCACTTATTGTGGGAATAATCCTCTCCCAGAGCATCCCGCTCATCCCGCAATTCTTCAAGCCCTGATCCACCAGAGTATAAAGTTACCCGCGAATCCTCAACCCGTCGCCAGTTAACTCTCCAACTGTTCAGGCACTAAGTTGCCACTTAGTCTGTGAGTTCCGTGAAAATTTAATCGAAATCGCTGCTTCATTGCTTCACCTTTTCAATAATCGCAATGAAGCTGTTTGTTGAGTGTGTGGTGTTTTTGCCATTATTGGCCCTGGCGTTATCTGCGAATCCAGATGAAGCCTTCGAACGCGGGTACCGGTCGTTGTATCGCGTTTACGAGGAATGTCAGCAGCGAAATGGTGGGTTGTCCCCGTGCATAAAGAAAAAAGCAATTGCCTTTTTCGAGCGATTGGGCAGGATTGACCACCTCCCGATCACTGAAAACCTCGAACTGATCAGAGTCGCTCAGGACAACGCTTCGCTGACCAGACACCCCAGTGAATCCGATTTGGGGCGATCTGGTGCTTCAAGAGATGAAGTGCTCAACGAAATCCTGCTGGATCGAGTGGCGAATCTGATGAACGGGTTCAACGTACAGATCAGTTTGCCGAAAACTAACACAGTAGAACTAAAGAGAAGCATGGAGGAAGGCAGAGGAAAAATGAAGAAGATGATGGGCATGATGATGACGGGCATGGCGATGAAGATGGCTGCAATGATCCCCATTGCAATGGGTGTCCTCTTCATGCTTGCGGGAAAAGCTCTTATTATCAGCAAGATAGCTCTTGTTCTGTCGATGATTATTGGGCTGAAAAAGCTTCTCAGTCAAAAGCAAGGCGGTGACTCTCATGGAGGATGGCAGAGTGGTGGTGGTGGTGGTGGTGGCGGTGGATGGGACCGAAGCATCAAGGACATCCCCCAAAACTTGGACCTTCAGAATGTCGAAGCTGACTCCAGTTACGGCCAAAATTTGGCCTATTCGGCACATAGGCCTCAGCAGTAATTGATTAATTAATTTATGATTTATATTTGTGATTTTTGTCAAGTGATTCGGATTTCGGAAATAGACTAACATATTATAGAAAGGAAGCGGTCGGTCTCTTCGTGCTTGAGCGATAGGTCGCGTATGTGGTGCCGGTCATTCAAACGGAAAATCTACATTATGATAATTATGATGGATATGTAAAATGTGGCATTATACTTAATGCTGCCGACACGCTACGTAAATCGCGATGAAATTTGTTTTTTAATTTTTTTATTTTTTGATAGCGGAATATCGTACGTAGCACGTATGAATGATTGTTACGTGTCAAGCGCGACCGATGGCATACTTGTGCGCACCTGTTACTCATCAGTACAGTTGACTTATTTATTATATTTTATTATGTTACATTACTTGATATTATTGATATTTATGTTCATTAATTTATATATTTATTTATTACGATAATTAACAGCCATTATTTATTTACTGTAAGATCCTTCAATAAATTGTACAATAGCGAATTATTTTTTCTTTATTATTCCCTTATTACATTTTTTTTTTTTTTTTATTGATGTAGTTACTTATGTGACTTATATTGATGGTTTATTATTTGGTTATTGGCCTTTTAGTCCAAGTATGGCGGCGAACAGTGCGAAGAAGAAGCCAGCTAGTCCAGTGGTACCGAGCAGTAAGAATAGGCCCATTATGATTGAAGGAATGAGAGCAGCAAATTTTAGCTTGTATGCCAGAAGAAGTGCCATTACTGCGCGATTCATTTTATGTTTACCTTTCTTTTTTGGACGATCTGAAAAAAAATTTTACTGTTATAATTTTTTTTTTATTTGTAGTTATAGCGAAAAAAAAATTGAGAATTGATAATGACTAAATCATCGTGAGATATTTTCAGATAAAATTTTATTAATTTAATTCTGGTATGAAAAGAGGAAGTATTAATTTTAGAAAAATTAATAAACTTATTGGTCAAAAATTTGTGCTTCTGTTACAGTATATACAAATAACTGACCAAAAGTTATATTAATTAAAAAAAAAAAAGTAATAATAATATTAAAAATTATTTTGAAGAAAACCAATCATTTTCATTAAAAAATTTCTGATCTTGAAATTTCGCACCATCGCTAACTCGCCAAATTTCAAACAAAACTTATTATGCAATCTAATTATTATAAAATTTTCAATTTTTCTTAGCGGGAAGTTAAAAAAAAATAAATAGATAAATTACCTCTTGCTTCAGCATCAGCTAATTCTAGATCAGTAATTGGTAATTTGTTAGTAGCTGTTAATTCACCATGCTTAACAGTACTAAAAATAGCCTTTGGTGCACTAGTCGTAGAAAATTTGAATACAGGCCTCACAGTGTGATTTCTTGTAAAATTAACCTTTGTCCTTAAAGCAACCTTATTTGCATTATTTTTGACAACTTTCTTGCGATTATCAATTTTTAGTCCGTTTATTACATAACTAAGTACTAGTACTATAAAGACTAGATACACTATTAAGCGCTGCATATTTACAACTTATTAATCCAAAAAACTGTTAACTCTCGAATAGATCCGAATTAAGAAAAAAATTGATCAGTTTTACATGATTTTATCTTTCATCGTGTTTTGAACATAAACTCAACGATCTTACTGCCGAGCAACGACATTCGCACTGACTTTATTTGTCGATAAATATGCTGATGAATGTTGCCGGTATTTAAATGAAGCAATGATATCGTGACTAACAAATCGTTGGAACTTGAACGACCGGGACAACGTACAACAGTGAACTAACCGATCCAATCTTCATTCCCAGTTAGGATATAGAGGAACCACAAGACAACAAGACTGGCAACAAGATGTAACGGTTGAGTTGCGAAGAAAATTGGCAGCCCGTGGAAAAATTAGCTCGACATAATATGCGTGTCGTAAGTAAGTATACTATTATAGGTGTTCCGTGAGTTATCATGCTTAATTCACCAATAAATGGAATAAAAATTCACCCAACTTATCATTATTTTTACGCATGTAGTTGCGATACCAAGAAATATAATACACAAACACAAAAATTCTGTTACAATGTCATAAAAAGTTGTGAAATTGTTTTGGCTGAGGTAGGGATAATCGTCTCTGTACTTATAAACCGATAAATGGGTTATTATTATACCGAAGGTGCTTGAGGTTATATTTTAGATGTCATGCTAGATGATTATGCAGGACAATTGATTTTTTGAGGAATCACTGCTGAAAGAATAATATAAAAAGTTATTAGGGTAATTCGATCGTTTTTGTTTGATTTGATGAAGTTTTATTTTATCAGAGAAGATTTATTTTAACAGAGAACACGGGTCTTATTTAAACATACAGGAATTAAATTATTAACAAAATACATCAATAAATATAATAATGAAACCGCCACAATAATAATTATCATTCGTCCTCAATTTCATTTTCGTCTACTCGTTTTTCTACCGCGTGAAGATCATCACCTGCACCCATAAACATATCAGTTAACACAATAATGTCTCTACGATGGACGCATAAACAAATTCAAGGGCTCGCTTGAATGTTCATAATAAAAGTTCGTTGTAGAGCTGGCGCATTGAAAATATGATCAACCTGAAAATCGATTCATTAGATATCTAATGCTGTGAATTAATTAATAATTTACCTGATGTTTATTAAGTGTGTGAATATACAGTACCGAATAATGCATCAACCATTACATAATTAATGTTATAATGCTCAACAGTGAACATAAAATAGTTAAGTTTCCCAGATTATTTCACACCAATTACACTCGAAATTATGCCACAAATTCTTGTATTAGTAATGAAAAGAAAAATTTAATTTCCAAAATTAATAATTTAATAATACCAGAAAATGTTCTTCGTGGTATCTTACATACGTGTAATCTTAAATCTTAAATTGGGCTATGAAAACAATAGAATATAGAATATCAGTAATTAAATATTAGTAATAAAGAAAATGTCATTGACATTTTCAAAAAAAGAAAATGCTCCGATCAGCGCCAAACTTTAATAGATTACTCGTCGGACCAATCTGAAGATTGTCCGGAAGTTTCATTAAAATCTGTCCAGCCATTTCAGAGTCTATAAGGAACATACATACAAACTTTCTCTTTTATGTATAAAGAAGATTATAGTAAGTAGTGATTGAATTTCCGACAAAGGGCGCACGGACGTTTAATTTTTTCAATACTAGAAAGTCAAGCTAGGAGTTATAATGCCAAATTGATAAAAAAATTTTGCAGCAATATTTTAATATATTCTCGAATCTTGAATAAAATATGATTATTATGATGCTTTTATGATCATTTGATCCTTTATTGACTTCTTTTTATTGAAACTTATTTGTATCGACTAGCCATTCTCCAGCAGTCCTAAACTCTACCTGAGTACAAGCGGAAAGTATTTTTTCTTGCTCTCCTAGCCGAAAGTACGCTCATCCTGGACGCACTTTACTCCAGGAAGAGCAACTTTTATGGCCTGCTCTCTAGTTTCTCTACGCATGCGCGCTACGTATTTTTTCTGGCCGGCAGCACAGAACCTCGCTTTCTTTCGTACTTTCGTGGTGCGACCGGCCTATACAGCGAGCTTTGACTGTATATAACAGTCACAGTATCGTCTGTATGTGACATGTCAGCGCATAAACTAACCAAAAAATGTCAAATAAATAAAAATAATTTTCAACTAGATTATTGTTAATGAACTATTTAGTAATACTAGTATTATTATTTAATAATAGTATTATTATACTGCACAAATAATTTATATAAAAATTTTTAAAAATAAAATATAAAAGTTTTGTAGATTTTATTTGCTTTCTTTTATATTTTGACAGCTAGTAAAGCGATGTTTATAAAACAATCCATGTACTCTATAAGCTTCTAATAATTTAATTTCAATCTTTCTTAGTTGTCTAATTAAAAATTAATTTTTAATCAACTAAAAAAAATTAATTCTGTTATAAAATCAAGTTTAAATATTTGTGACAAGTTCTGTGCATGTTATCTCTCTTAATCAGAGCGTTTGTTAGTAAACTTTAAAATAACTTATTTTTTCTTTTATTTATTAATTTTTACTTTTTTATTATGCCCGCCCCGACCAGTAAAATCTCGGCTTCGCCTCGGCTTTACAAAAGTCGGGCGGCGCCCCCCTCACCCCCGGCAAAACCTCGGCTTCGCCTCGGTTTTGCAAAATCCCTTCCACGGGATTGCGTACTTTCGGCTGGAGAGCACGAAAAATAGTATACAACCCACGACCAGAATGTTGGATGCCCTCAACGTATGTGATATGATAGCCTCGGCTACGCCTCGGCCATCATATCCCATACGCCAGGAAATCCAACTTTCTGGCCTTGGGTCGTAATATACTATCACACTATACCTACGCTGTCTGGTTGACACTAGTACTTGTATGTACTTAAAATAGAAGTATTAGGAAAGAAAGACAGTTAATTTTGTAGAAATGTATAACCAGTGTTACAAATTAACATAAGTTAACTGCAGTATGTAGTCAAACTTTCCTTACAATTATCTCGGCGGACAAGAGTAAGATAGATTTGATGAGTTTTATCCAGCGACTAATAACATTCACAGGTACAATCCTTGGAGGAATGATAATTGCGATTAATTTTTCGCATATAAAATTAGAGAATAAATGTCTTCAAGCAGACGCGTCAGAATTTTAATAGCGCTCTAGTCGCGGAATAGGAACTAGCGCGAATTAATATCATATTTAAATTTTGATGTAAATAATAATGTTGTAATAATAATAATTAATAATAACAATTAAATTGATAATAACGGTAACAATTAGAATAGTTTTGGTGCTGAGTTCTTCACATCGATGATTCATTATGACTGATAGATGAAAATTTTTTTAATGTTGCTGTTAAGTTTTTCCATCAATTGACAAATACATATAATTCGATAGAATTATTTTATTTGAATTGAAAAAGTTGATTATTTTAGAAAAATTGTAATTATTTCTCTTACTAAGGTAGGGTAAATACCCCAATAGATGGACAGTTAAATAAGCAAACTCTCGTATTCTATTAAAAAAACAATATAGTAATATACAGATAAGTTGTGATAAAGTAAATTATATTTATGAAAAAATATATGATTAACCAGGAAAAAATAAGTAAAACTTCGTAAAACGTTGTAGTAATTAATGAAAAAGAAAAATGTAAGAAAAAGTCCAAACCCCCAGTAGATGGACAAAATCTCCAGTAGATAGACAGTCAATACCAATAGATAGACACTACTTACAAGCGATATTTTCGATTCATTATTTATATCAAACATAATTAATTTATCAATTTTTTCCACTAAAAAATAAAGCTTGATAAAATTAAAGAGAAAAGGTGATAAATCGGATGGTAATTTTCAAAATACATCATAAAGTAATTTTATTAATTTTGAACACGTGGTGCTTTCTCATGTAAAGTAATATACAAAATATATTAATTTAATATAAAGAATACTAATGATTAATAAATTATCAATATAAATTTATAAAACTCAACGTTAAAAACGTTATCTTGTCTTCTTCTTCCTTTTAATAGGTATGTTCTCTTTTGCTTTTAAATTTCCTTCTCTCAATTTTCTCTTTTATTCAGCGTTTTCTTTTTTCTCTTCAATTTCTTCAATAATCATAATAATACTTTCATTTTCAGTACATGTCTGTTTATTATAATCTTTACTCTTATTCTCACATTGATCTACCAATAAAATTAAAAAAAAAATAAGAAAATTCATCATATAAACTCAATGTCCATCTATTAGATAAAGGTTAGAAAAGTGTCACCAATAGATGGCCACTAAATCCTATTATTTCTTTTCGATTTTATCATTAAAATATTACACTGGTCTACAGTGGTTTTGTTGCCCTAGATATAAGATTGATTTTGGATATATTTATACTCACAATTCATGAAATTATGAATGATTTTGTAAGATTTGCTTTCGTTTTTTTTTCAAATACTTATTTTTATTTTACATTACAAAAATCAGAAAATCGAGAACAAAATAACAGATATATTTATAATGTCAGTTTTATTTGGATAAAAATATGATATATCGAAGTAAATAGAGAGGAAAATTTGGAAAACATGTTATATTATCATAAAACGCCTTTTAAGAGCTTTTCTTTTATAATTTTTCCGGGGAAAATCTCTTTTTAAAGACCAGCAGTAATCTGCCATCATATAACAGTCCCATCGACCCTGATATCTTTCTTCCATTACTTTCAGATCCTGGTGGAACCGCTCTCCTTGTTCCTCACTATAATATCCTAAATTATCTGGAAATTTATCCAAATGATTGCGGAGATAGTGTAACTTGATACTCATATTTGCTCCAAGAGTCTGAAAGTTTGTCAGCATATTTTGTACAATTTCTTCATAATTTAGTGCTTTATGGTTACCTAGGAAATTTTCAATTACCAACACAAAACTTTCCCAAGCTTCACTTTCCAGAACAGTCATAACTTTAATAAAAT